AGTAGTGGCCTAGACAGAGTATCATGGATTTTGTATTTTAGTTTTATTTAAATGTATATGAGAGGGAAAATGAAAGTCGTGTAATTTCTTATACAAAACAACACTCGAACTCACAGACACTCATTTCAGTCTAGACAAACCAGGTCAGACAAATTTTAACCACATTTATTTTTATAACAAATTAGGATTGTTTTTCTGTAAAAAAAATTAATGTTATGCGAACTGCTCAACTAAAATATTCTAAATTAATATTTTTGTAACAACAACAACAATCAAAATGATTTGTTTTATAGTAATAATTTGATGAGAGTAATAGGCGAATTCAAAGGATTTTTATCAAAGTGATATAGTGGTTAACAGTGGGACCCGTCAGTTAATTCTACATGTATTCTGATGTTATAAATCCACACAGGAGAATCGAATGCGGTACTTTTCAATTCAAATAACAACATATTGTTCGTTGAGTCCAAATAAACCCTGGTTTGAGAGATCAGATACTGATCCATTGTAGTCCTGAATATTAATGGTAGAAAAATACAAACCCCTACGAATCAACATCATGCATATTAAACTAGCCAATGGCTATATATGGACTCAATAGCTCGATAGATAAGGCATTAGCTCCCAAAGAGACAGGTACTTGGTTCGAGTAACAGAGTGGACATCAATACTAGTAAATAGGTACATGTGACTACCAATTCACAAGTATTGCGAGATATGAGTTCTAGATTACATTGTCGGCCACTATCGAACTTAATTAAAAACTAGTGACTTAATGATAATATCGAAAGAATTCTTATGGGGTCTACATGTGTTACGACGACTAATCAGCTAAATTCCTTAACGCCAACAACGGGAAAATACGAAATCTTAAAATTATTAACTTAAAGAATGCTTTAAATTGATAGATTAGCATACATTTAAGCATATTTCTAAATAATTATGCTCAAACTGTAGTTTAACCACTTAACTTTTAAATTGTTTACAAAATCCTCTTCGATTTCGTGAACTTATGTATACCTGGAGTGATTTCAGCTGGCAAACCAGTGAATTCTAGAAGGGATTGAATAACGAGATCTTCAGATTTTATGTCCCATTTCTGTACAAATTCATGACAAAAATATTGGAGTCTCAAATAAAGTCGAAATTGCCATTGATTATTGACTGTACTTGAACTATTTCTGTATTGTTTGTAGTTAGATCGTCTGACTAAAAAAATGCAAAAATACATTTCTCGATTCATACTAATACTACTGAATTCTTTGTGATGCAGCTGTATTTTTATTGAAGTAACATAATAGTCTGTTCACTACTGAACAGCTTTGAGAGTCAGCTAGCAGTTATAATCATAATAACACCTGACACATATTTCTATCGACTTAAGTTGTCGTACCATATTATCCAGGGTAGAAGTAGCAGTAATACAGATGATATCAGTAGCAGTAGACGAGGTTAGGCAGACAATATGAAATGAGAAATAATGAATGGTAAAAAAAGAATGCATTTGTACGATTGTGACCAATCTAGAGCCATTTCACTCAAGGTCTCCAATCTCTGGTTTCTTTAATCGCGCGGAAGCTAACCAAGTAATTTGCACCTATGTGAACGACTCAGTGCAATAGTCAATGACTTTATGATTTGGTTTCACGTACTGATTTCGTCATCCCATGTTTGGAATAGGACCAATAAAATAGCGGAGTGTATACATATATCATACAACTGTTTTTGAACCTAGTATACAACAGGAGTGTCATACACTGTTCCACTGGCCTTAAAAGCTTTAATAAATCTCTAATTTCCATTGAGATGTCGTGGAGTTTCCCTTTTCACGAAAATTAAGACAACAATCCACCAACGATATTGGATAATGATCAAGCCATACCACAAACAATTAAAAACCCGAACCATTGAATCTCAACTCGGTTATTTAGGAATATGATGTTTTCTGGAACTCTACATATTTCTGCGTTCAACTGCACATTATATCATGGTTGATATATTCTACAAAAGACATTTCGACTTCATTTTAAGAAACTAGATGCGTACATTTTTACTCTGAAATAGGTTGATTCGGTAAAGTCTAAAGACACTTGGTAGGTAGTTCGTTACTCCATCTCAGTAAAAAGATAATAGGGATAAAGTTTTACTTAAGGGACGAATCGATTAGTGTATGAGGAGCAGAAAAATTACTTTCGTATACTTTTAAAAAACTATGAAAATGACAGCCGAAAATGTTTTCTCCACCATAAAGTAAAAATGAGTGTTCAAAGTATAAAATGACCAATTGTGTCTGTTTAGATTGTATATAATACGAAAATCGACTTTACCATCTGTAAACTCTCAATTCTGAAACAAAATTTAATGGATAAATCTATTCATTTATATAAATACCAAGTAATTTTACACAATAACTGATGTTAGTTCTTGATTAAAAACACAACCCTAACCCCCCAGCCCTTGTACTAAATACCTAACTCTAACTAGGAACATTATGGTAGCTTAAAAATTCGTACAGGTCCTTACAAAGATTTGAAAGGTTGAAAATCTATATTCATAAAAATGAGATTATATGTCGTTGTTTTCTTTCTCGATTTATAGGCAGAATAACCTATAGAGAATATCAATAGATTGACTGATTACTTAAAACTGTTTTATACACACATATAGCCATTATTTTCTCTTCTATAAAAAATCCATTTATATAAGCTATTTTCTGATTGACTGGAAATTCACCGCAGTTATGTTAAGATGGTCCTCAAAGTATATAAATATATATTTTTATCATTACAAGAATTATTTACTTTAAATATGTATAAATGGAGATCTTGTCCAACATTGGTGACCTCTTATATTAACTCCAAAATAAACACAGATTATATTGATATTAATTATCATTGTAGAGTGTAAACATTTAATTAACAGAAAATTCATTGTAGGCAATTAGCCCAATAGGAAATTTACTATCCAACGAGATATTTCTCAACTTATCACTTATTATGTATTACTGATTTCATTTCTAACTTTTGTCATTCATTGAACAACAAAATCATAATACAGTATACATAGATGAGAACGATAAAAATACAGCCTCATACCAAGACATTTTACAATAAATCTTAAGTTAATAATAATGACAAGAAGAAATATGTGTGATGTAAAAATTCAAGTGTTAAATATCTCGCTTACACAGTGATCTCAGGAAAGATATCCGACTGCAGGGTCAGTAGTAAAACTCGGTATAACAGATACATCGTGTCAACAAAATCGTTAAGTGGAGCGTTCCAAATCGTTTAGGTAGGACCACTTTCAGGATTGCAAGTACGTTTTTCTGATATTTAGCTCAAGACCTAAACCTGAGGTTTATTGCCCAGTTCTTTAAACTATCTATAATCACAGTGCAAATCAATACCGAGTCGTTCAAAGTGGTGGAGACTTCATTCCAATAAATTGATCATCATCAAAGAAGAGACAAACATGACATAGGATAACAATATTCAGTGAACATTTCCGGTAAATCTAAAAGTTATCCAGTATATCAGAACAAGAAAACGTATCATGGATAATTCAAAAGGAAAAAGCAACCAATCAAAAGTCGCCAGCAGTTTGAACAAACGGCATCAACCAATTTAACTGATCAACCAAATTTGAACCACGTAGAAAATAATTTCAAAACTCTAAAATATGCACTCACTAAATGTAGAATTACATTAAGCATAGTGGCTAGCTTAATTCGTCACTGAAACGAATGCAATTACCCAAACATACAAAGTACATTAATTAAAAATCACGGTATAGAATTACGAACACCAATCTAAAACAAAATCCATCATGTCAGATCGATTGACATTTCCAAATTCAGAACAAACAAAGCAAAGTGCATATGTATCTTCTTGAACGTTTTTAAAAAGAAAGGGAAAAGCTATGAAATATTGAAAATATTTTTTATCATTTACATTCACAAATATTAACTGTTTATTCCAGAAAAGCAAAAACAGACGCCATTTTGTGAGTAATAGTGTCAGTAGTAGTATCAAGTTAAAATCTTCCCCCAACAATTTAATGGATATATATATGACAGAAAACTACATTTTAAAGTTTCATATACACAATACTAATACTAGTAGTAGGTTGGGTTTAAAAAAAAAGACTAACAAGATACACACACAAGACAAACAAAACAAACAATGCAATTAATGTACAACAGGTTCCAAAGAATACTTTAAAAAATCAAACAAATATCAATATAACATTTTTTATGTACAGAAAATGAGGAATTAGATCCCCTATACTATGAAGTCAAGAGAATGACGGAATAAACACAAGAACCTATGTGGATGCATGTACGGACAGAAAAGGGCAAAAGAGAGTGGATATATATAAGTACAATATGCAATATTATTACTATTGTTATGATTAATATTATTGGTAGACATGGGCATAGTAAATTTTTAAAACTGTAAAAAGGGCAAACAAGTTTGAACATATATTTTACAATGAGATAAATTTATGTAGGAGAATATCAGGAGTAGAACTAATATACAATTTAGGTTAGTTTTCATTCGTTCAGTATTACATATAGACATATATACGGAAGAAACAGTGAAATCGCTAATTATATTCACAATCTTTATGACTATTATTCTGGATGAATAAAAAAGGAAGGAGAAAAACTGTATAAAACATAATTGGTTAGCATTGTTTTAATATTTTTCATAGTGAAATTATCAATGAGTTTAATTATTACTACGACTAGTACCTTAATTACAGTATTTGGTAAGCATGATAGGGACTAGAAGGAGTAAGGACAAGCAGGGAGGGAATTGAAAGGTTGATAGTTATATATTGGCGCTGATAAACAGAAACAGACAAAAAAGTGGGTGAAAATCACAGAGTGCTCTAACGATCTTCTCTTTATCTCCTGTTTTTTGTTTTCTCTGCACATCCCAATGTAAATGAGGAAATATCTCTTTTTTGACAAAAACAAAAGTTTACATTGTCAATCAAAATGATGGTCCGCGACTAACTACAACTGCATGCCCAGATTTACCACAATCCATAAAAGTTCGTTCAGTCCATTGATCTTTAATTGGATTATAAACTTCAACACTGGCTAGAAATTCGCTTCCATCGTAGCCACCTAAACATAAAAATGCGAACAACGAGAGCACTTAACATTAATAATAATGATCTTTAAGAGAACAAAGAATGCATCAATTTTGATAAACAGAGAATTTGCATTTGTCAATTTCAGGACAACTCATAGTACTGGATGAAACTCGATTTACATATCAGTCTTTTAGTTCAATCTGGAAAATGAGCCACGCTACTTACTCACTATAAATTGATAGACTCAGAAAATTCCTCGAAAAAATCTCAAAGGAGCCCTGAAAACTCTGAGAAACATTGTATCTAATCAGCATCGAATAAGAGTTTCTAGGATGCATCTAGAAAGTGAAGAGTCACGTGTCACATTTCTGAATGGATGATTACCTATCCCGTTACTATGTTTAGTAGGGTTCCAAAACTTTACAGAAGCCCGAGACCATCTGAAATGTTATAAATACCCCCAATTTTCTGTACACAAACTAAACTTGGAGTAGAGCATTCTTTCCGTATTTCGCACCTTCTATCTCGTGTTCAAGTTATCGTGTAGAGTTAGCCTGCAGTTGTTAGAAGAGCTTAAGAAACTGATTCAAACGTTCACTCCGAAGATTTATCAAAGATGATAGATGTAATATTACAAAGGAAGAAAAAGGCATGACACTATTTCCTTGAAATGTAGATAACATGTAAGACACAAGTTATGCAGGACACTTAACGGTCTAAGACTTGACCATCGGACTTAATCCTCAGCCAAAACATTAAACATATAAATGAATGAGGAAATGTTATATAATAATAATGACAATAGTAACAATAAAATGTGATATTATTTTAAAAAACAAACTTTATTCATCTATTCACATATCCACCAACTCACCAAAAACCCATATTTCATTTCCCCATACTGAAGCACTTAACGCTGATCTTGGATGTAGCATAGATGCACAGTATTCCCAACAATTTCTTTTAGGATCATAACGTTCCATTGTATTTAGCTGACTACAGGAATCATATCCACCAATTGCATAAATGTATTCACCGAGTGCAACAACACCTTTAAAAATATTTCCCAAAAAATTATATATATATATATATATATATATATATATATATATATATATATATATATATATATATATAGATAGATAGATAGATAGATAGATAGATAGATATAGATATAATATTACGCAATCACCTTCCAATGACAGTAGTGGGTATCTGTCTAACAATCAAGACACGGTTATCCTTGAAACGTAGAAGTCTGAAGGAAGTCTTTTACGAAATTTGAAGTAATTAGTGCCTTTGATGAATTTCGAAGACGAAGATTATCAGAACTATGTGATATATTAGCGCAACGCATTTCGAACAATTTGATCATACATATACTTGTTAAGAACATTAATATATGAAAATAAAAGGTCAACTAGACTAGAAATTGAGGGTAAGAGAAGACGATGATAATAAAGAAAATAATGTGAAAACAATTTGAAACTTCATTACTCTGGATAATAATCTAATATTACCAGGGTAGGTTTAATGTGAGAATAAACTGCTTTTGAATACACAGAGGGGGTATGAATTTTCGTATGGCTAATGCTTCAATAAACCTTAGTATATGCACTTCTACACTTTCGTACAACACCACAAAACCGTATTAAGATCAATCTTACGACCCGTTTCAGATCGGATTGTTCGAAATGTATTGCCCTAACATATCACATAGTTCTGATAATATTTGTCTTCTTATTATGCCATCGAAAGTAGAAGTCTGCGTTAAGACCTGTTCTCAGAAAAACATTGTAGGAATACCTGAGTCCTAAGACTGTCGTTGTAGCTTCTGACTAGTACTCCGGAAGCTGTATTGTATTTTAATTCAAATTTCAAAGATATTACGTTAAAATTCACTGGTTCTTATCATCATTCATAATGACAACCTAACAATCTCCACAAATCCCGTATGCTGATAATAGTAATAATCCTGTTCCAGGAATTCTGAGGAGCTACGACTAATGGAGTTAAATCATATCAAGTATAAGATAGTTATTCAACAATGATACTAGAAGATGATCACAATATCATGAACTGATTGAAATTTGCAATGTACACTCTTGGATGGCAGCAAAGTGAACTAAAAATGATGTGCTCGTCGTATGTTTAATAGTAATAATAATCAGTTAGTTTGTTGATTTAAAATACATTGCCACAATGAACTAAACGCTTGACTATTAATATCCTAGAGTGGGTTGGGGATTATCAGATAAATACTGATGTTATCGTTGAAGATGTTTCTTGTTCTTCGACCCAACATTTTTTCTGGGACTCAGTCAATACTTTTAACTAGTGGGACCAAGCCATATTGAGGGTGTGAGGAAAGTACTGACCGAAGACATTGGAAGATAATCGTGTGCTGTCATTGACTGATTGAAGTTAGACTTGTACACACTAGACCTCAGTTCAGTAGTCTAGAGGCTAAGTTTTTGTGCCCAAGACCAAAGATTTTAAGTTCGGTTCCCGGTTGCGGAGTCGTGGATGCCCACTGTTGAGTCCCGTACTAAGACGAAACGGTTGTCCAGTGCTTCCATTTTTTCAATGGTGGACTAACTTTGATCGGATCATGGCTTCAATGAAATATTTTTAATTCTTCGAACAATGGATTTAATTGGAAAAATCCGCTAATTTCCATAGCTTTGACCAGTAAGTTTAAATAAAGCCAAACTACTCATAGGAAAGCGGGATATATGAAATGTATATTGAACAAATAATAGTGATAATGACAATAATAATCAAAGTAAAAATAATAATATGAAAAATGTTTTTTACACAGTATTTTTTACGACAAAACTGTTAAACTGTCATCCTATTTTTTCTAAATAATAAACTGTATTTCGTTTACAACTAAGCCGAAATATTTCATATAAACATTCTACTAAACTGTTACGTATGTTTTACACTACTAACGGTAGGGACCATATGATAATTAGACAAATCAATAAATAGACAGGGACTGGTATTATCAGACAGACATTAGTATTGTTAAAAAGAAGTTATGAAAAAGATAGGACAACGACAAGAGGAAAACCAGACAGAGAATACCAACATTGTTGATCTGGTGAGAAAAGAGAACAGATTGGCAACATACATAAAACAAAACGGGTTGATAATACCAATCTGGAATTGGACCCAGACACAGATGTGTATGTGTGTGTTTATGTATATGCATACATACATACATACGTACGTACAAGTAAACGATGTTGATAATGCCTACAACAACGACGAAAAAACAATAATCATAACAACAACAAGTCTTTAGAGCACAAAACAACTGACAGTCTGTCTACGGATAATAGTTTTAATTATAATAAACCAAATACAGTCTACGATGATTTGGATAAAAAAAGTTAATTATCACTATTAGGCGAAGTAGATAATTATTAAATGTAAATAACCGTTAGGTAGATAGACAGCTAGGCAAGTAGACGAGAGACCAAATGGATAAATAGATAGACAGGTAAAAAAAAAGTTAGACAATCTCGCCTATTTTTTACTGATACACACAAGTGAATACGCACAGGATTTCTCACATTTTCTACTTCTTTACTACCTGCTGATATATAGATATACGTGTACACATACGATTGAAGATGTTGTGCTATTACAGATAAATGCATAACATAATAAGTTGATAAATTAACAAAAGTCAAAATCGACATGAATATCAAAATAATTTAGTGAGAGAAAAAAAAAACAAAATCTAGACAATTAGGCTACGTGTACCAGAAAATAATGAAGATTCTTTCTGAGATGTAGGCATAGACACACACGTGCATAGGAACGTAAAGATATACAAACAGAGAAGTCAAACTGCGTAAACGAATTATTCAACAGAAAGAAAATAACAAGTATCAGTAGAAAGAAGAATAGCAAACAAGATCAATGAGAAGCGAAGATTAAGTCGTGACGACGTGAAAAATGTGTATGAGTCAATGCATTTAGCTGAGTCATACTGTCTTGCTCTGTTGATTGGTTTAAACACAGTATGGTCAGAAATATTGATTTGGACATGTCTAATAAACAAAATGAGTATGCTGTCTAAAAATGAACAAACTATTGTGTTGGATAATAATAATGAAACGTGACTTATTATAATTCCCTATATACATATGACAGAAGCTCAGTGGTTATTCGAGAAACTTTATTCCAATCAAAAATCAGTTGACCCAATGAAACGTTATTCTATTCTTTTATTAAGAGGAAAAAACTCCGTTTTGATTGACATTGAAATGAATTTATTTATTTTCCTTCAATGTTATTCATTAAAAAGTTTATGATTATTATTAATAGTAATAATAAACTGAAATATACTTAACTATGAGATTCAAAAACACCAATGACACAGAACGCTTTCAGTAAGAAAGTTGACATTTTAGTTTTTCTTATTGTCAAATAACTTCTTGGTATGGTGTACGTAAAGAGGATCATCCTCGGTGTATTCATTATTGATGAGCACCAAACTATTTATGCTACCTTAATACGGAATATTCATCCAGTGATCAGAATAAAGTCATTTGTACAACAAACTGATCGACCAAAACAAAATCTGACATATCAGATAATGATATTTAAAAGTTTCATGTTAAGTTAAATGAAGAAGCGTGGGGTCAATTTATAATGAGTAAGTAGGTTAATCATTTAACCATAGCCACCGTCTACCTGTTTTCATATAGGGATTAACCTACCAACACAAATGTCTGAATGATTGATAAAAAAAATACTCTGTCCATTATCTAGAAATATATCCACCTACACAGTTTAATTTTCTTTATTTCTGCTGTGCTGATTATGACGTTTAAAAAGTTTGTATATTGTAACTGAATTGTAAACTATACTATAAACTGTTTAGTATACCTTTTACCAACATGATTTAATAAGTAAACCAACTGATTAACCAATTCCTAATCATGTAACACTTCAAATTAACCTTAGTGATAGCATGAAAAAAAGATATAACTGGGTAAGAAATGTCAAACTGATGGACACATGATTTACCATGTAGATGCTATTATACAAAAAAGCATTACCAACATACATACACCAGAGAGAGAGAGAGAGAGAGAGGTAAGAGAATTGTGCACAAGACAGTGAAGAAAGACAGAATGAGACAAAGCATTCAAAAGAATACTTTGTTAAAGATGGGAGAAAGGACAACAAAAAAGCGACGAAAATGGAACATATTGACGAGAAAACAAGTACACTTCAATGAGGAAAATCGAATTGTATACTAATATTTTACTAACGAAACACTTCTATCCCTCCCTCGCCCTTTCTTAAATCACTGACAGCTATTCGACTGACCTCATAAAATCAACATTTTAAAAACTTAGACAGGATTAAAGTCTAGTATAAAATACCTGAATCTTATATATACAAAGTAAATAAGTAACTCCAAACTTACCTGCACCAGATCTAGCTCGATTTAAACAAGCTAACTCTTCCCAATTATCTTTTTCCGGATCATAACGTTCAACTGTATTCAAACGTTTTTCACCATCAAAACCACCAACAGCGTATAATAAACTAAAAATATTTTTAAGAAATAATATGTAAATAACACCTACTCCGTTCAATAAATATGAGAGGAGATTTACATATTTCTTATTTCTGTACTAATTCTACTATTTTACAATCTAGAAATTGATAGTGCCTTAAAAAACTCTTAGACTCCTTACAAAGGTGGAGTAGAGATGTTTTCAGCCCTTGTCAACGATTTAGATTGATGAACAAATAGAATAGTGAATAAACACCAAATTTTGAGGAAAACTTTCAGAAAACTCATCAAATGTCGAGAGCCACTTATAAAACTTAACCCACCGAAGAAAAAACTCATTTTAAGTAGGTCAATAGTTTTAGTAGTGCCTAGTCCTACGTTGTAGCTGACTGGCTGGTGGGTGTTGATGAAAACTGAAAGGATAATGCAAGATTGAAGTGTTTGTTAAGAAGGCAACTTGAAAATCGAACTTCTGAAGATTTTCCAAGATGGTTTACGAAGTCAGAAAGGAGACAGTACAAGTGTGTAGTAACAAATAGGAAATATTTTAAAAGGTAAGGTTGGTGTATTTTATATTTCAGAACCATAATTCACGTTTTTAGTAGATAAGGTGTACATAATGACTTATCAGAAACCTTTATAGTTTCATCGATCCATCTCATTTTAGTTTTTAATTGGAGTACAATTTAAAAGAAATAATAATTAAACAAATAATATTAAATTTGATCTTCTAAATAAGATACTCATTGTTACGGTTTTTAAGCGCGAATCATCCTTTAATATAGCTCATTAATACCAATTAACAGCAAAAGACATATCTTGTACAATTTCAATGAATCGATTATTGTATTTCTCATTAATGAGAGAAAATTAGGAAGAAGAACAGACACAATGAAGCTCTATGTACATCCCAGCTTATTTCATACTTTTTAGCACATTCAGTAAAGATTATAACAATCATGAAAAAGTTCGAATAAAATATAAACCTCGAATTGTAAATAGATAAAATAAGTATGATAGAGATTGTGAATGATAAAATAATTCATATGTGATAATAACTTGAATCAAGTTAGAATGGCAATAATTTATTTTTCAAGTTAGCCAACATCGTTTAGTGCAACTTGAGAAAAAAAATGATTGTTTCAATTAATAGATCATCAATATAATAAAAACGATTCACCTAAGAGAATCAGACTCTGAACTGATCAAACAATGATAGAAATAAGAATCTGGGTCATCCACACTGTATTATTGATTTAGGGAAGTAAGTTAATGTCTTTCGTTTACATTGATTACTTTAAAGTTTAGCAACTTTTAAATAATCCCTGGTAAAGACTAAGTAATTTAAGTATCTTCCTAAATACGACAATTATCAAATCAACTTGATCTGATCTCTCTTATAATTGTTGTGAAATTACCTAGTCAAGTCAAGTAACTAAACTCATAATCATAATATCTATACACGTAATTCATTCCGCTAATACATTCACAAGGAACATTTCCCAGTAACAAAATCTCATCACTGATTATTAGCATTCTTGTTACGTACATTATAACCGTATGATTGATTATCTAGAATATGTAAAGTGTTACTCAAATAAATATTGTGAAATGTTTAGTTTAGAAATAAATACAAGTAGACCAGTGAAATTTACAATCAAATTAGTCAACATTTATTTTCGAGAAATACAAGTAAACAGAATGAGGAAATTCAACAATAAGTCATTATGTCTATCAATTCACTGATCCAATTCTAACAATCTATAAGTGACGTTTATCAGGAAAGATATATTTGTTACGAAACGCCCTGGTAATAATAGTGCATGTTTTTGTACAAGAAAAGTTGAGGTCGAATTCGATGTTTTTCATTTTTCGTCCATACCCGTAAGAATTGATGAATTCCAATTATAGTTATTTAAAACTTATCCAATATGCCTAACACGTATTGTGAGATGTATTACCTATTACTAATTAGTTTATAGTTAATATTTTTGTTATATGGAAAGATTACAATGAATTTAGTCTTGTACATGTGGTTCTATGAATTTTCACAAATATACCAAAAATTTTGCGAACATTTTTTTATTGAATATGGTTTCTAGTTGAGTGTATCATATAGTTGTGTCTTTATTTGTATCAAATATGAGAATTAGATATATTCAGATTGTATTTTTGAAGCATATTACATACCTTGGATGCTATTTCACAATATTAACAGTACAATTTATTAGTTACTGACTACTTATGAACCTCTATAACAGAATAATTGAAGATAAATTAGTTAAATATGTTACGTTACGCTGGACAGCTTATGATGAAAATACTAAATAATTTATCATAATACACTTGGAATCGGTCAGTCAGTCAGTGAGCTACAACGTAGGACTATGCACATATAGGCATCGATCAAAGTTGCCACACCGCATTAGTACCATAAGATGAACACTGGATTCATAGGAGTAGTTAATTCAGTTGTGGTAATATATAAAAGAAGGATTGCATATAAGGATACAGTACAGGAAGAAAGATTTAGTACGTAGAAAGAAAGATATGAAGCTATTTTAATCTCTTAGTTTAAAGGAAGACTGAGAGTGTATACACCGACGCCATTGTGAACGATTCTCAGCCATGTCACTCACAGTCTCCTACCATTCGATACGACAGTCACACGGACCACAACCAAGTAGTCTGCATCTACCAACATGGCTCAGAACACAACTTGGTGACTTCAAGCATTGATGCCACGTTTTCCTTTGGCCGACCCTAACTTTCTTCCAACCATCCCCAACACCGGTTAGCATTGCACGTCGTGGTAATCGGTGTTCAGGCATACCTAACACGTGGCCCAACCATCTCAGTCGATGAAGATTAACAACCTCATCAACTGATTTACCATCATTCCCTAATACTCTGCGTCTAATTTCACTATTACTTACCCGGTGATCCCAGCAGACGCCAGCAATATTTCTAAGGCATCTGTGGTGGCGTAAGATGGCAAAAGCCAAACGAGTTTTTCGAATCCATCCCGAGATTTCGTCAGACACCAACCCATTAGAGCTGATCAGACTTCCAAGATAAGTGAAGTCATCAACGCGTTCGACGACTTCACTCCCTTTCCCTAGTTCAGGTGTTGACACAGACCAGTCCTGAAGCAACAACTTGCATTTAGAGGGAGAGAAGCGCATTCCAAACATTCTGGCGTTGTTGTTCAGTGCTACCAAAATACTCTGAATTTTATCAGCGTCTTCAGCAAACAGGACTATATCATCTGCGTATTCTAAGTCGATAAGCGGACCTCCTGGTAGGAGATCAATACCCGAGAATTCAGTCGACGAGAAAGTTATTTCCATCAGTAGGTCTATGATGAAATTGAACAAAAATGGAGATAGTGGACAGCTTTGCCGGACACCACTCGAGATCGCAAAATCAGATGACAGTTCGCCATAAGCTCTGACTTGACTAGTAGTGTTCGAGTAAAAAGCCTTCACAAGGTTTATGTAATTCTGAGGTACGCGTTTCAATGACAGACAATCCCACAGAATCTCGCGGTCTACCGAGTCAAATGCTGCTTTCAAGTCAAGAAAGACCACCATTGTCGGACGCCGATAAGTATGCCTGTGTTCTAGAAACTGACAAATGGTGAATATGTGGTCGATGCAGCCACGACCAGGTCTGAAGCCAGCTTGATTCTCTCGTGTTTGCAGTTCACGAGTCTTTGTCAGGTACCCAATAATCATTGAGGCTAGTATTTTAGATACTATATTAGTTAAAGTAATCCCTCTGTGGTTGTCACAGGATGATTTTGACCCTTTCTTATATATTGGGACGATAATTGGCTGTGACCAGTCAGATAGGATAACGTCCAAGTCCCAGATCTTAGCTATAATATTAGTCAACCCTAATCGCTAAAATTAGACCACCATACTTAAAGACCTCTGGAGTCAATCCATCTGGACCAGCTGCCCTTCCTCGTTTCAGATTAACTATAGCCTTTTGAACTTCTGCTAGAGTTGGGGAACTACTTCAATGTTCCATTCACACTGTCTGGGGATGGAGGGTAGTTGTAGAGTAGCTGAAGGCCAGCTGAACTGTTCTCTGAAATGTTCCGCCCATCGTTCTAAACGCCTGGACTGGGTGTATCGTCTTTTTCCGATATAATCTCACTTACACTTGACTTATTAATTCCAGTTTCTTTTATTAGTCTGTAAAGCTGTCTTGTGTTCCCTATAGTCGCCGCCTTTTCCATCTCTTTTGCTTTCGTTGTCCACCGCTGCTTACGGTCGTTCCTTAGACTTTTGGTTAACCTGGATCTGACTTATTTTCGCTCTTCATCGTGTTCAGAGCCTGATTAGACGAGTTTACGAGAATCCATCAGTGCAATAGACTTTGAGGAAATCCATTGGTTCTTTGTAACCCTGTGGTTTAAGTCACTAATAGGTGTCACTGCTGTTTCCACAGCTGATTGCATATCTTCCCAAGCAACATCCGGGTTAGCCTCGTTTTTAGAACTACCTAATTGTGACCTCAGTTGTTCCTGGAACTTACTTTTGGTTTTCTCGCTACTTAGTTCAGTTCTAATGGGATTTTTTTAATGTGCCTTTTTCGCGTCCAGTGAGGCGCAAGCAGATGCATGCTCGTATTAGAGCATGACCGGAGTCCAGACAGGTACTCCAGAATGAGCGACAATCTTCTATCGACCTTCTCCAACGATGACTGATGGCAATGTGGTCTATTTGAGTCCATCGTTGGTTTGGTGCAGGGGTCGTCATGTTAGACGATGTCTCTCCTTATGCCTAAAATAAGTGTTTGCTAGAAATAAACGATTGTCTGAGCACAGTTGCAGCAGACGATTGCCATTATTTGTTCACTGAGCCGGAATATTAAAATACCCACCTAAATGTCTTTCTGTTTGGTTTAAGCTACCTATCTGGGTATTAAAGTCACCTGCTACGAGTACAACGTCTGAACGTTTAGCTTTCTGTAAAATTCATCTTTCACTTCATCCGAGCTGCAGTCAGTGGGAGCGTAGGCAGAAACGACAAAAAAGCAACGACCATTTGGAACCATTACTTGTATATAAAAAGTGTTCTGAAATTTCTATGTGGACAAAATATTACACTTAAAAGACAAAATAAAGGAACGAGAAACAGAAAAAAAGTTACATGAAATGTAAACAAAACTTGTAAAAATCATTTACTTACCGATTAAGTACAGCAACACCTAATCCAATCCGTCGACTATTCATAGAAGCTATCGGTATCCATTGATCCATATCTGGATCATATCTACAATACAGAATACAAGATTATATATATATGAAGAATATATCTGCCGTTTATCATAACAATACTGATAAATTCAATTATCACATACACTAAACTGTAGACCAAAACAAATCTATCTATTGTTGATCAGTATTATTGAGAAAGCTTACTGTAATTATTGGTAGTTTTAACTATCTTAGATTAAATTTTAGGAAAAGAACTAAGGTAAGTCAGCTGTGTACATTATAACACAAAATTTTTACCGTATGGGTTTATGTAATTAGCGATAATCTACTCTACGTCATAAGGTTTAGTTATACTACGCGGGTCTGTGGTTAGGGTTTATGGGCTAGAATTATGAATTATACATAGTATACATAAACCAACTTAAATTGTAAACCTGAATTCTAACAGTTACAAACGTAAAATATACTTGAAAATTTCATTAATTATGTAAAATCAATATATCATTGGTAAACTCAGATTCGCTGTTATTTCATTTAAATAAGAGTTAAAAATTCCAAGGTTGCTCAACAGGACAATTTGGGTTTATTATATTTATAAATATGATCAAGGAATATTTCCTCCTTATGCATACTGGTAGTACAGATCTACGCAGTCAACATTCAGTCACATTACTTTTTGTGAAGGGTAGTAAAACACAACCTAGCTGCTATCTGTACAAGTACAAGAGTAGGTTTTGTGGGTTTGGAATTTCTAATCTAGTCAAATGCTGGGCAAACGAGTCAAATTATTATTTATCATGAATCGATCGATGTTAGACTACCACTGGAAATCTGGAAGTACTGGTCGGCCGTTTCATCCTAGTATGAGACTCCTCAGCAGTTGGTATTCACGATCCCGCTCGCGGAATTCGAACCCAGGGCGTTTGGTCTCGCGAGCAAAAGCTTAACCTCCAGGCCACTGAACAGGTATCCAACGATGTTAACGTCTAACTTCAACCAATCCACAAAATTGAGCGACCATCTATTGTTTGAGGTAGATACCTGTCTCTACCTGACATGGATTAACACCATTGGCCACGGCTTCTCGTTAGAACTCCGAGAATCCCCTCACAAAGCTAGTCGCTAGTGAGCACATGGTAATTATCAATTTAGGGTTGTGGGGATTGTTAGGTTTTTGATTGAGATCATGAATCGATTGATTTTAGTTTATCACATAGCTAGAATTTAGATGAAAACCATCACTACTGATCACTGTCATAACACAATATGCTTTACGCACGTTTTTATTAATTATACATAAACGCTCAAATGATTTATGTACATAGTACTTTGGAGTGTTAAATTCTGTTGTAAAATTCCTTCGCAAATCGACAGAAACACAATGAAAGAGAGCATATGTTCTGTAATCATCATTATATATACTTTAGATACATTCAAATTAAATGAGTAAACAAAATATAATAGAGTGACTGTTATCAATAGGCCGCCAGTAAAATAATGTAGACTATATATACATAATTCAGAGATTGCATTGATAAAAAGAAGTCGAAACTACAAAGGTTGGGTATTTTATTTTTCATTGAATTAATTTGATCATATTTTAACAAATCATAAATTACAATATCATATCTTTTTGTACAGAGTAGTTATAATCATGCACTTTTGACAAGGCGAAAAATATAGGTCGGTTTATCTATCTATTTATATTTATATCGGTCTAAACATGGAAAAAGTATCTGTTCAAGGTCATCTGATCTAAACACGTATGGACTAGACAAAGTCAAACATATGAACCCAAAAGAATCAGACAATTGACAAATAAATGCATTTATTGGCATTCATTAGTAAAAAAAATTTACAGTTTGTCTAGAAAATTAGAGGGAAAAAAATTTATTTATCTGAACACGTAAACATTGGAATAAAGGGACACCAAATACATATACGCTACACAATAATACTTAGGCTAATAGTAGTTATCATTGATTTGCATGAGGGCTGTGATACTGTCCAAGTGCCTAAACCGAAGCAGGATGAGGGAAGAGAAGAACTACGGAAGTGACTACCGATATATTATATTAATAATGAAAACAAAAGTTGTTAAGACAATAAGTATAATCGCTAGTATATACTGTGACGAAGTTTCGCTAAATATATATATTGTATTTTATTGATTGATTGAAGGTGTAAAAACATGTAAATCAGATAAGAAATATTTTTCATTTAATTAGTAATAGTAACTAACATTAAAGAATGAAATTCTAATAAGTTTCCAGTGTACATTAAAATTTTTTTTTAATTATATATAAACTCATTAAATCTTCATATTGAAATTATTATCCCTGATTTAATATGTCCAATTAATCTTATTCAACTGGAAAGAAAAATATGCACAAAGAACCACAATTCAATATTTTGAATACTAACCATAATGATATACAAATGTTAAAGTGTGTTATTAATTTGAGCAAAAAAAAGTAATAACTTATGACAGAAATCTTACTACTAAAGGATAGTTTTCTGTAGATTGTCAAATTTCAGTTTTCCACCAATGACATAGAATGATGATTGAGTAATATTGCAGTTTGATCGAATATAGAAATCTAAACTATTGGATGACAACTTAGTAGCCGAAGGCCCCTAAATGCCCTGGTACGACCGAGAGTGGAGAGAGTCCGCTCTCCCTCAAAAAATGCTCTCACATGGCCACGCGTATATAGCCCCTGACAGGGAAGTCCTACTCAATGCTTTCTCGCGGCATTACTCTTGTTTACCAAATTGAGAGGAAGAAAAGCGAATGTCCAGCGCTTTAACCGGGTTGGTGGATATGGAGAGTCCACCTAGGGAAGTTCGAAAACCCTGATTCCAAACCAATGGCGTACATGGGCTCCAGTATCCTGAGGAAACAAATGGCGTATGAAACAATTGTTGGTCACCGGCTGCCATAGGACTGCATCTCCTTACGTTGCTCCACTGCCTTGTGGATCAGACCTTTAGATCAAAGGCTCCGAGCGTGGCCCCTTAAGAAAACCCCCTGCTTCGATTTGGTCACCCGGGAAGTATCACAGCTCTCACACAAATCAAATGAGATTTGTGTGGCGCATATGTATCTGGTGACCCCTTATACCAAACATCTATGTCTTCAAATAAATAAATAGTAGCCGAAGAGTTAAGTGCTTGTTGAGAAACCTGAAAGTCTTGGGTCTAGCGCCTGGTGTGGTTGCACACTGCTACGTAGTTCATACAAGGACGAAGTAACTGTTCAATACTGCTTGGTTTTTAATGAATTTCTAATATCGGCAGTCCAAATTTCATGATATTAACATTAACAACTAATTGAGTCAAAAATATTTGAGTTATGTGTCACTTAACATGATTATGGTCATTTGAATAATTGTCAGGTTTGCGTTAAGATAGATAATATAATAATACAATAAACAATACACTATTAATTAGATGTAAAATTATCAGTTAGAAAACAAACCAAACCAAATACTTACTTTTCAGAGCTTTTATGGTGCATTGTATTGGTTGAACCACCAACAGCATAAATCATATCGTCGACAACACCAACAGCAACTCTGTTACGAGGCACTGACATAGGAGCACATGTAGTCCAACAATTTTTCCTTGGATCATAACAATCCATGTGAGGTGCATCTATATTTCCTTGTTCATTATTATTTCTGCCTCCTACAAGATAAACGCAACTACGTACAGAACAAGCAGACAGGCCACTACGTGGGCTAGGTATATCTGGTAGACGTCTCCATTTAGCTGTAACTGGATTGTAACATTCAAATGCACTTAGTGAATAACGCAGATAACCACCAGCTGAGTAAAGAATCTGCAAAATAAGATTGTGTAACTAACTAGTCATCAGAAAAGGAACTGGCAAAAAATGTCAAAAATAGAACTCAGTGATTAAGTACCAGTTTATGTAGTAGAAGGCAAAACAAAAATTAGAATTTTAAACTTACTGGTCAAACGTTTCAGATCAATAAACCACAATACTACCATTCATAATAACTAAGCGTGGGTTAATACTACTACTACGACTACCCAGTTCATGAAACTGAAGTCACGTTAAGTAAATATGAACATCGAATCTGATGGTTATAAAGTGAATTTGTGAGTCATCGAATCATAATATAGTATCTATGAACGAATTTAACTCTTCTTAATTTATTCCACAGGGGACATAAACAATATATTTCACCTTAGATTACCTACAAAATTTAACTTTGATTTTCCTACAATTAAATCCCCTACATAAAGTCAAACATTTAGTGCGAATCCGAGATTATCGAACAAAATCTTTTGTACTTTTACATACAAACATCTACGAGTTATTTTAGATGAACGTATAATCTAGACGTTGAAAGACGTTGTGCATATATCCGATGTTCAAAACGTTATGTTTGTAAGGTATGGGTCCAAAGAGTAACCCAACAAACGATACTATTAAACACCTACCAATATGATTAGCTTTTACTAAAGAACAACCTTAAAGAAAGCGGATGTGAATGTCGTTCTAACCCACCTAGGATAAACCATCAAGGCAGAGTGTGGGAGTGCATTATGAAATCAAGAAGATTTTTAAGAAACTTATCAACATTTCTGGCCAGGGCCGAAAAAAATACTGAACAACAGACCACTGGTGAAGATGACAGATGATTGAGTCGCCCTAGAGGCATTTACTCAAGATAAGTTGTCAGTTCAGAAAAGATTACGATTCGGCGAAGTCTCAGTCCAAAAAAACTTTATAATACAATAAAAGATGGGATGAAGCGCAGACGTTAGCTACTGAATTTCGGGACAGACATGTGCGAAAATATTTACCTATCCTTCAAGCAATAGCTAAATGGTTGGAAATACGAAAATATCTGCAGCCAGGTGGTTAAGTCCCCGTTGACTATGTCGAAGCAAGTAGGGGTCGGTTATCTGAAGCCAATGTCGAGAAAGTAAGCTAAAGACCTGGATGGAAGGCCTAAAATAGTACCCTTAAAGACTCTTGATAACCAGTCGTCTCTCGCATCCAAAGAAGTTGATAAAGAAATCCACGTGTTATATTTTCGGTCGTACATCAAGGTCCAAAAGGTGTTGATGGTCGAAAGATTACCTTTAGTACTCAGGACCGTGTTAATGGCGCATTAGAATGTATCATGTTCCCAATTAAAAAACACGAATTTATCAAGAGTTGAAAACGAGAAGGTTAAGGTATTAATTGGTTGTAATGCACACTAGGACTATGTGCTCGACAACCTAGGGACCAGCTTAGAAATTCATCTGTAGGTAGTTAAATCCTATAAAGCCTTTGCCACAAAAAATATGACTTATAAGCCTAACTGACCGAGAGAAATTAACACAACGAGCAGAGAAGGGGGAAATGTTAACTACCATAGAAAGTTGAACACAGAAAATTTAGCTAACTAATGGCCATTGGAGTATTTTCTTCAAGACAATACAGTAAAGACGGGTTATTTTAAAGATAACACTCACAATGGAGGAAATCAAGCTATTTGCAGTGGGAACTGTCTGACAAAATCTCAGAAAATGAGTACAGTTTAAGAGCCAGTCTCTTAGTTTGACTTCAATCTAAATTTCGGGATATGGCTCGATGCTTATTATCGCAGAAAAGATTTAATTACATATTGGCTAAACACAGCAATGGTTTAAAAATCTATTCTAGTGTCAAAAAATTTAAAATCAATTAGAGACAACAAGTTTGACAATTTCATCTTGACAAAATTTTTCACCGATTCCAATTTTAACGAAGCAGTAAGTGCTTTTAGAAAAAATATTACCCTGATAGTTACCAATTTTTAGTACTCGTCATTTAACTATTATTACTTTTATTATACAAACATATAAAATATGTTACAACAGAGCACCGAAAAATAGAGTGGGTCAGATATAGTATGCAGAAAATATTGTGAATGAAAGGGAATACTATATTTAAAGAGAAGTAAGAAATAAATGCACAAAATAATTAAATTATCTTATATAATCGGATAACTCCGCCTGTAGCTCTTCCAGAATTCCTGCCGGTCCCGAGCCCACACGAAGCAGAAGGGTTGGGCATGGGGTCGGCAACCTCGTCCCGTAGGAAAAAACCTTGCTAAAAAACCCTAACCAGAATAAACAAATTAAACCATTTAAACTCTATCCTCTGAATTGAAAGAAGAATTATGACGCCTCATGATAAAAGTTGAAATTCTTCAAACATCATGAGGCTGATGCCCATTCTAACAACCAGAGCAACCATTAATATAGTTAAATGGAATGTCCAGACAATGAAGGAGACTGAAAGGACCAGTCAAATAGCTATGGGAATGAGGAGATACAACTTGACGGTTCTCACGATAAGTGAAACCCATTGGACCCAAACTGGACAGGATAGATTAGATTCGAGAGAGATGCTGTACTACCTTGGTCATGAAGAAAATTCTCCTCACTCAGGAAGTTACTCTGATGCTGTTCAAAGAAGCACGTAAAGCATTCATAGGAAGGGAGTCACATGGATCTAGGATCACCAAACCATCCTTCAAAATGTAGAGGGAGGGAATCTTAATTAATGTCATCCAATTTTATACACCCATCAAAGATAGCAATGACGACAATGAAGATCAGTTTTACGAGGCCGCAATCAATCATAGCGAAGTGCACAGGAAAAGATCTGACCATCCTGATGGGAGACCTAAACTCCAAAGTCGGAATGGAGAACATTAGCTATGAAGATATCATGGGACGACAAGGACTGACTACTGGGAGAAAGGAACGAGAATGGTGACAGATTTACAAATTTATGTGTACTCAACAAAATTCCCCCACAAACGCATACACAAAGCTAAATGGGTCTCACCGGATCACACTACAGTGAACCAGATTGATCATAATCGCATCACTAAGATTTTCAGAAGAACAATGGAAGACGTGAGAACCAGAAGAGAAGCTGATATAGCTTCAGATCATCACAAACTGGTGGTTGACGAGATGAAACTGAAACTAAACAAACACTGGACAACTGGGGAAAAACAATTACAATGGTTCAATACATCCTTCCTTCGACATACTGACAAACTCAGAGAATTCAAAATAACTATCAACAGCAAGACTTACAAGATCTACTCAAAGCAGAGAAATCTACCAAGGAGAACAAGTGGAAAGGGATGAAAGAAGCACTGGCTTCAATGTGTAAGGAGGTTCTGGGCCTCAACAAGCATCATCATAAGGAATGGATCTTCATCGAAAACCTGGACAAGATTCAAGAAAAAAAGAACAAAAAGACAGCAATTAACAGCAGTCAAACAAGAACAGAAAAAGTCAAGGCACAAGCTGAACACACTGAAGCAAACAAGCAAGTGAAGAGGAGTATTAGAGTCAACAAGCAGAAATACGTGGAAGACCTAGCAACAACAGCGGAAAATGCTATATGACACACGAAGAAACTGACAGGGAAATATTGTAAACCAGAAAACCCGGTCAAGGACAAACATGGCAAGCCAATCACTCAGATTCAAGAACAGAAGGACAGATGAATAGAACACTTCGAAGAACTCTTCAATACACCAGCACCACTAAATTCACCAAACATCAAAGCAGCACACACACACCGTCCTATAGATGTCGCTCCACCAACGATCGAAGAATTCAGGATGGCCATCAGACAGATCACGAGTGGGAAAGCAGCACGACCTGACAATATACCAGCTGAAGCACTGATGTCACACATAGAAGTAAATACAAAGATGCGTCACAACCTGTTCAGGAAAATCTGGGAAGAAAAATTGACGACAGTCTGGAAAGCATACCTCATCAAGAAAGGAGATCTGAGCAAATGTGAGAAGTACAGATTAGTTAAACTATTATTGGTACCAGGAAATGTTTCCAACAGTGTTGCTGAACTGCATGAAAGATTCAGTGGACATCCAGATTCCAGATCAACAAACCGGATTCCGTGAGGATCGGTCGCGCACAGACCAAATCACGACCCTACAGATCATCGTTGAACAACAAATTGAATGGAACTCGTCACAATATATCACCTTCCTTGATTTTGAGAAAGCATTTGAAAGTGTGGATGGAACATTATAGAAACATCTTCGACACTATGGAGTATCGGAGAAAACCGTCGATATCATACGGAACCCACACGTCGGACTACAGTGCAAAAACGTGCATAGAGGACGGCCGACAGATGCATTGCAAGTGAGGACCGCAGTCGGACATGGCTGCTTACTCTCCCTCCCTTTCTCTTTCTTCTCGTGGTTGACTGGATTATGTAGACTTCCACATCTGAGGGGAAACACAGAATACAATGAACACCTTGGATCAAAACAGACGATTTGAACTTGGCAGATGATCCAACTCTTCAATCCCATACACACCAACAAATATAGGTGAAAAACAGTGTAGCCTCTGCATCAGTAGGCCTCAACATACACAGGGGAAAAAACCAACATCTTCAAATACAACACAGAGAATACCAACACAATCACGCTTGATGGAGAAGCTCTGGGAGAGATGGAATCTTTCACGTACCTGGTTAGTAGCATCATCAACGAACGAGGAGGATCGGATGCAGATGTAAAGGCGAGGATTGGCAAAGCAAACACAGCATTCCTACAATTGAAGAACATATGGAACTCAAAACAACTTTCAACCAATATCAAAGTCACAATCTTCAATACGAATGTCAAGTCAGTTCTACTGTATGGAGCTGGAACTTCCAGAACTACCACAACCATCATCAAAATGTTACAAGTGTTTATAAACAGTTATCTACGTAAGATACTCAATGTCCGTCGACCGGATACCATCAGCAACAACCTACGTTGGAGAGAACAAACCAACTTCCAGATGAACAGGAAATTAGGAAAAGAGGTTGGAGGTGGATAGGATATAAGTTACGGAAATCATCAAACTGTATCACGAGGTAAGCGCTTACCTGGAATCTAGAAGGGAAACGGAAACGAGGAAGGCCGAAGAACACACTACGTCAGGAATTGGAAATAAACATCAAAAGAATGAATAGCGACTGGAGACAACTGGAAAGGATTGTCCAGAACAGAGTTGGATGAAGAATGTTGGTGGTATGCCTATTCTCTTCCACGAGAGGTAACAGGCTAGGTAAGTATATATTCGGATAAAGTGTATGGCCCATGCAAATACGCAAACATCGCTTTGGTAATTCAGCTGCAGCATATCTGTATGCGACACTTACTGATCCTGAAGTTAATACGCAACTTTTGATAGGCGGCTATCAATAATTATCATTAGGTCCTCAAGATTTGGCAAGAAAATGTAAATGAGATCAAATTGGTGAAGGATGAGAAAAATGTCAAGTCTCTAAACCAAAATATTTGTAATAATGCCTTTGTCTGTTTAAAGAGAATAGTATGTGCGGGGTGTATGATGATGCCTTTCAGTCTAGCAATAAATATCCGTATAAAAAGTAAAAATGTGTAAAGTATCGAAATAGAAAAATACGAAAGTTAATTTGGTAAGGTTGATGTCTTCCATCCGTCTATAAAAAGACGCAGATTGTTTTCCTAAAGATTCCAGTGAACACGGTCCAAGATCATTCTTTCAGCAAAGGGGGAAGGGATTGAACATGATATCTAATTTTCAAGCTTACTCCCTACAATAAACTCTACTCAATCGCATCTAAATTCAAAGGTGTAAGGAAGAAGCAAAAAATACAACTCGAAAATCTAGTCCTTGTTCTGTCTCAACAAGCACTAAGCAGCAGTTTTTCTGCAGTCATAACAAATAGCCGTACCATTAACATATCACTATTTTTCTTGAGATATGATAGCAGCTTCAAAGGAATAAATAAGATCAAAAAATAGATTTGTGGAACAATATTAAGCTTAAGATTTGGAAGAAGATAGATAATGATTGGATCTCCACCAATGAGATTGGTTTATATCCATGTCATCCCCTACGTCTACAGAAATAGATCCTCGAAATACCATTTGAGCATGAACAATGGCAAAATAATGTCAATACAACAAGTATATTACCATGAACACTTTCAATGAGAGAAGAGAAGATCTATACCGACGGCCTGCTTGAATATCTGGGCTACCTGTTCCTCCCATCTAGATATTTCATCAAGTTATCTGTTTTGTTGCTTGTTTTAGCACATCACTATGTCTATTGTGCGACCAATCTATTCAGGCGCGTTTATGAAAAGTTTACAACCTTTCGCTATACGGGATACAAAAAGGTACAACCAGCGACATCATGGTGGCTGGCAATATGCATTGAAACGAATGAACAGTAATCAAATGTGGATTACCGAACTCCTAACATCTAACTGGTCATCATTCAAAATTTATCGTCACAATCGATCAAGGTATAAGAAAAGGAAACTTGTTAAAATACTTTATGCTGAGAATTCTATGTTGTACCAAAAATATAATGTTGAATAAAGCTTCTAATAATAATAATAATAACACGAATATAACAGATAGGTCCTAGCAGGAGGCAAGTCTTTCAACTCTAAAATAATAGAAAACACTTTAATAATGTCATTTATCTTTAAATAAGAGCATGGATTATTGACAAAGTAGTATTGTTTTAAATGCAAATGATTTAACAAGGCTAAGTTTATGTACACGACTATAAGCCGTACATTTTATATGAATGTTAGTGAGATTACAAGACTGGGTAAGCCGAAGTAGCCAGTGAGGGGAGTTTCGAACGTGAGACCTAACAACTGAAAATTGAACAGTCTAACTACTAAATTATCGCTTCAAAACGTTTATTCAATGGCCACTATACGTTTTATCAGCCACATACGAAGAATAAATATAAGAAAAAGTGTATTCATTTATATTTCTAATTATGAGAATCTATATGTATGTACATATTTAGTGAAGGGGTAAATTAGTGTTTAGCGAACTTGGAAGTAAACTATCGAGTTGGATTCGTTAACCACACTTCACCTACTTCGATTTTGGTGAGTTATTAGTAGCCCTTACACAACACGTGGCTAGAAGATAAGAACTTAAATCTTAACTTGATCAATAAGCTAGATCACAAATAAACATTTACATATAAAAATAAGTCGAAACAGCTAAACAGAATTATAATAACGATAACCAATTTACCTCCATTGACCCAGCTGTCCGTTTATTTATTGAGATATGACGGTGTTTAATAAGATCATCTAGAATATTTTGCAAGTGAGATTTTGCAGGAGTGAAACCTGCAAGAAGACTACAATTTTTTATTTGCCCTTGTATAAATGTAGGAGGAAGTGTATAACATCTGACGGCAGACAGAGCTTCAAGCAGTGTAGATGATCTTGAATTTCTATTATGATTTACCCATCTGATAACAGCGTTATACACTTCCGCTTCAGTTCGTACATTTAATTCATCACGTTTAATTAAAGTTAAAAGTTGGTTAGGATGAAGTCCTAGAAACTCGTCATGTTTTACTATTTCGCTAAAATTTTGATCAATAAACTTTTGAGCAGCAAACGATAATTCGGAACAATTATTCGACTGCGCGAACTCTTGAATTCCAATAGCATTTGAAGGATGTAATTGCTGCTTTAAAAAACTACAACAAGCTTGGACAACATGAGACATTTGAATCATAGAAGCAGCTATGAGTAATTCACATACGTTCCGTTCACTTATTTGTATTCTACCTGTATATGCGAAATCGATTAGCTTTTTTAAAGCACTTGCCGATATGTAATGTAATTTAATTTCATGTAAAAGTGCTTCACGCATTTCACCAGTGAACATAGCTCGGAAATATGGTGAAGCACCAGCTAGAACAATTCGATGACATTGAATTGATTCTGAATTTACACATAATGTGACATCAGTTAATTTTCGAGACTGAAATAATTCATACATAGTATTCATGGCCTCTTTTAAGTAATGATTTGATTCGAAATTCATACAAATTAAATTATCATTTGATTCATCTGAAGAGCATGTAGGTAGAATGTAAGTAGGATGTGGGATAAACAATTCTGAATTGGCTAAATCAGGGAATGATGATGAAATATCACAGTTTGTAGATGATACAGAAAGTTCATCCATGGGAAAATCTTCGACATTTTCTTTCATTATCATTTTTTCTTACTATGACTGATTACTTCATACGAGATTAATCATTTAAAATTGATTCCTGTAAAATCAATGAAAAAAATATCTGTCGAAAATAACCATTACAAAAGTCAAGAAACCAAACTATAGGTTAGAAAGAGGACATTTATAGATAGTAAAATGCTCGATTTGAAACCAGTACCCGTTATGTGCAGTTTGTTCCAGAAATAAAGGAAATAAAACGTCTTACAGAGTTGTACGACTAAAAACAGTCCACCAAGGCAAAACTATCGATACAAATACATTAGTGCATTAGAAAATGGAAAATAAAATCGGATACAAAGAATACAGGTGTCAAACGCCTAGATATTTACAAATCAATCGCCGATAAAGTAAAATATGCATTCTAAATTTTTCAAGACTTGATCCCCAATAGTAATTGAGAAGCCTCCTACAAGTATACGTACAAGTTGCAAACAACATGATATGTTGAGGTAATACACATTCCAGACACAAGGGTTGAAAGTTTTATAGTTGGATGCTCTTCTACAATAGTAAATACCAGAACAGTTTCATTCACCAAAAATAATTACAACATTTATGATAACGCCCGTAGTTACACATGGTTCCTTAATACACGAAACTGAATTCATAGGACTATTTGCAAAGCCTTCCTCCCAAATGATATAATATTCTAGTTACATTCTACCGAAATGTTTTCCTGCTTCTTAAAATGACAGTAGTAAAAGCAATCAATATTGTTAGTAAATAAATCCAATCATTCACGTTCATAACAAGTAAGATACCCAACTGAAGCAATTTTAATCTCACGGTTTAAGGGAAGACAAAGGATGTACACACCTATATCATTGTGAACAATCCTCAGCCATGTCACTCACAGTCTCCAATCACTTGATACAATAGTCACACGGACCACAACCAAGTAGTTTGCATCCACCAACATGGCTCAGAACACAACCTGGTGACTTCAAGCATTGATGTCACGTTTTCCTTTGGCCGACCCTAACTTTCTTCCAACCATCCCCAACACCTGTTAGTATTGCAGGTCGTGGTAATCGGTGTTCAGGCATACGTAACACGTGGCTCAACCATCTCAGTCGATAAAAATTCACAACCTCATCAACTGATTTACCATCATTCCCTAATACCCTACGTCTAATCTCACTATTACTTACCCGGTGATCCCAGCAGACGCCAGCAATATTTCTAAGGCATCTGTGGTCAAATACTAGTAGCTTACGAGTATCCTCAACTCTTAATGGCCACGCTTCGCAGCCATAAAGTAGGACAGAACGAACTAGTGCCCAATATTCTCGCCCCTTAATTGATAGACAGTTGATCAAAGACAACAAAGAACCTAACACATATCCATCGGTCCAAGTTACCAAAATCCTTGAGCAAAAGGATAACTTTATCAAGAGAAATAATGAAGTAGTAGTATGCACAACTTTTCAGTGAAATTGCCTTTGTGCTTGTAAAACAATACGGTCACATACAAAATGTCAAAAACAAGAATAAACGTGACAATAAGCCATTTAACAGAGATTGTAAGTCTCAGGTTTTGTAGATCACTTACGTTTCGAAAAAGAAAAAGCCCATAAAGCTTTTGTCCTACTTCACGTCAAATATATTTCCTATTTGACAGTAATTGTACTGCCTTGCTAAAGAGACTTGCAGATTGCAAACGCTTGTGAAAAGAGGATAGTCACAGACAAAACATTGAAGTATGAATGACAAAAGAACTTTTTGTTCTATTGTAGAAAAAGTGCAGTGTGAGTGACACACGCAGTGTTAAAAGAAAATTCGCTATCTTTTTAGAATCATAAATGTTATCGCGAACTAAGGACAGCAATTTTTGCATTATTCAACGAGTTGTTTGAGAAAAACTAAATTAAATTCAGTAAAACGACTCATAGAAATCCTGATACTAATTGTAAGACAAAGAACACTAACCAAAAATCTGAGGACTTGAACGGTGTTTGTAATGCTTATTTAGAATTTCTTAGCTTTATAGACAAATTTCATAGATAGGGACGAACGTTAAAATTTTATTTTCATGAACAGTAAAACCTTTGAGGGTGTGAAGTCATATTAAACAAGGACTTTGATGCTCGCCGAAATCTGAAGCGCGATTTAGTATACATGTTTTTCAGCGCTCAAAGATCCACAATAAGTATACAGGACACTGGAATTACTCAGTTGTGATTAGGAAGACGTTTTTACAATTCTCATAAGACCCGTCGAAAATAACGAACACTGCTGCGGGACAAGATGGCGAACAAATTTATCAAATATAATGTTGCAGTAGTAGTTTGTTCCCTAAGAACAAGGTCTAAAAGTGACATCATACCTAATTGAAGTCACGACATAATCAAAGTGAAGCTAAGACTGCTTACGAATCAACGTTCGTATTGAGACCAAACGAAGGATTTGTATTAACTCAATATTTCACATTTATTATTACGATAAAAGTAATTAAGAGTGAGCAACCCAGCGACACCAACATACCTCAAACCCCGGCTTCAGCGCCACTACTAACTTGACCTTCACAAGGTTGCTTGAGACTTAGTTACAAAATTAAACAAGACTGGACACCATAGTACAAATATAGTGAACGGGATAAGAACCGTCATATCACATCAACGAGAAATATTTTAGCCGAAATTACCTCAATATTCTCTTGAATCAGAAACACTAAATGAAATTTACAACTGTATGTTGAATCAGACTTCCCTCTTCAGTAGTAAGGTTAAGAGGCCAATCTGCCTGTATTAATCGTACTGTTAATATTCAACATTGCTTGAATGTGTCAAGAGTGAGTGCTAATAATACTTATTCTGGTAGAAAGTCCCATTACTTCAACCAAGCAGTGAAAAAAGGGAGTCCAAGCGCAAACACTTGGATCTCGGTTTTCGAAATTTCTTGGAACGTCATCTCAGGTGATCGGTGCTGGATATAAGGAAACAATAAAATGTGTTATTACCATGAATAATGTTCATTTTACAATATTCATCTCATGGCTAAAACGAGGACTTACTTCTTGAGCATCATATTCCAGATGCGGCCTCACGAAATTCGGGTCTAAATAATCAAATTAGTTACTAATAGAACATAAGACCCTGATGTATTTGGCAACGGTAGCTTGGCGCTTACTCCTAGTTATGAACTACCAGATCTTTGCGAACTAAACAACTCTATGTGTTGTGTAATGATGTGAATTTTCGGAGTCATTCATTTGCATTTCCATATTTTCGTTAGAATTGAATTCTAGTGACTAATTACCTATCCACTCAACCAGTAAATTTAGATCACCATGTCATATTATTTTATCTGGTATACTGCGTATGGTTCTTCAAATCTTTATGTCATCTACAAAATATGCAACAGACGACTTTGCTACGGCTAGTATGTCGTTTACGTACAATCAAAAGAAGAGGACAGAGGACTGTATCTTACAGGACTGCACTTTTTCAAGTTTTAGCATCAATAAAGCTCATTTACCAGTTCGCATTGCTTCCTATAATTGAGGGAGTCACTTATACAGTTTCTAATCCCATAACCTTCTAGTTTCAATTTACGACTAAGGTGAGAGGCCTTAAAACACATCCACTGAAATATTCCTATCTTTCGCTGCAGTTCATTCTTGTCTTGCAACGAGCAGATTTGTGCGTCTTCCTACACTTAACAAAATTTCTTGACCTGTTTACTCACCCACAGCGTGGTCTATGTGGCACTAAGTATGGTATAAACGGGGGAAGTAACTAAACCAAGAGTGCCTTTAAATATACACCATACTTCTTCAATTGATGAGCTAGTATTTACTGACCAGTCCGTTGTTGCAGCACACTCCTGAATGGGCATTATTTTTTCTCCTCATACCTTTAAGCGAGGTTTAACATAATTGTATATTATGTCACAAGCTCTGAACATGAATGACAAAACAGCAAGATAGATATTTGCTAACCGTAGAAGAATATTTAAACAAGTGATATCCTTGGTCGCGTGAGTGATTACTAAGTCCAATAGCGGAGATTTTTGGTTCCATCCAAGACGTATGGGTACGCGTACGTGCTGTACGAAAAAAATACTCTATTCCGTCATCAAGAGCCTACTGTCGAAAGCCTTCAGATCCTGAGGTGGTCATCTATGTCTAACTAATATCATGTGCATTAAAGTTTCTTGATATCAGGCATTTCTTATTTTTACTCTAAAGCTAAGCTGATCGAGCAACGACAGATAGGACCGAGTCTCAATGTACAACGGTAATATTTATGGTCTACTATGATATTAGTACTGCTCTAATAATGGACCTAATCCTAAATTTGTAGATTTGTCGTGATATAACTGCCTAATCTATAAGATCTTACGTGGAAGTCACACCATCGACTACGCCAACTCACTGTATCGCATCAATTACCAATACATGATGTAGAACAAGGTTAGGCTAGAGAAAGAACAATATATTTAATATGAATAGAAGATATAAGGTAACATTCAGCAGAGACCACGCCTGCATGGCCGAGCCATGCCACTCGATCAACTCCAGTCAATTCAATTTATTATTCGCGCCTTCTCCATCGTTAGGTATTTCTCCGCGTTAAATATTGAATATCTATTTTCTTAGTAGTCTTGTGTTCAGCTTTGAAGGTATGTCTGGCTATTGTCCGATGCCACTACACAACCTTCAAAAGTGAGTTCACAACTAGCGACTTTGAAAACCCTCTTTATGTACTCAAAAACAGTTTTGTTTTTACCTCATACCTACGCTGCTAATATTAGCTTTTTATCCAGTGATGGTTTTTCACATTGTCTCTTCGCAGCATTTACTTTATTATTACTTTTTCTCTCACCCTCCATTTCTAATCTAGTTGGCTCTTTGTTTTGCCTTAAACAAGTGTATGTGTGACTAGGTTTATTGAGGCAATGTGTTATACAGTGCTGATAATCTACGTCCTCTTGCTAAACTATCTAAATTTACCAAAGGGTCTAATTGTTTTGAAAACTTT